TACACAGATCAGGATCCTAAGTCTCTGTTGAAGACCAGCAAGTAGCCAAAATAAATAAAAATGGGAAAACCTGTGTCATTTCTATTTCCAGTATTCCATCAGATAACTATGAGATTTGGATATGAATGGGTTTCAATGATTGTTTAGTGGAATCCCCAAAAGGGATTAATTTATGGATTCTATATGCAAGTTAAGAATTAAAAAACTATTTGGTATATTAGTTGTTGTAATGTTTACATGTAAAAAGATTTAAAGTCTAAATTTTAAAAGAAAATACGTCAATATTGATTTTAATCAGATATAGAAAGCAACAGCTGTATTTTAAACTAATGACTTCTAATTATGACATGTTTTGAAACTGAAGTGAGTTTTCTGAAAGTTCTTCTATATGAATCTTTTTAGACTTTTTATCAAAAATGGTCTTAAATTAGGATTATGAAACAATGCATAAAAATTAGAGTTATCTAAAAATTTACAAGACCATATCAATAGAATAAATAGCTAGAGGTGAAGTCACTCAGAAGAAACTGTCCTAAAGGTATCCAAAAGCAGTATGCTCTGGTCTCTAGTTCCCACCTATAGTCTGCTTAATTTCTGGAAGGCAGTGACAGCAAAAGGGAGACACGCAAATCTTGCTGAGTTTATTTGAGATAAGCTAAGAAGACAGGTCAGACTTGGTTGAAAATTGTTAGTTCCAAGTACTAAAATTACTCCCGTGGCACTTCTCAAAGTTGATAATTTTGCCAATGGGAAAAAAATAAGAACTCCATCCACTAAACTACTTTAAAAAATGGCTCTGGGGCCCTCCCTGGTGGTGCAACGGATTAGCACACAGCACTGCAGGCTGGCTGCTGCCGCCTCAGTGCAAGTTCGATTCCCAGCCCCGGAGGTGACCACATGGAGTGGCAGACCTCTCCTGACCAGCCCACTGCTCCTCTCAGCAGTGTACTTCACCAATCTGCCTATTCTGTTCCCCACTATGTCTCTGGTGAATACTCTCACTGCCCCTGCATCTCTGGCCAAAACCCCAGTTCTGTATGCATAAATAAAATAAAAATAAAAAGCAGACTCTGAATACAAATATAAAATTTTGCTTATGACCTTTATTCAACTATAAACCAAAATAATTTTACAAATTAAATGCACACAAAAGTATAAAATCATTACACAGTTCAACTTAAAATCGATGTCAATTGAGAGATCATCTTTTGCTGAAATTAAATTGCCTTTCAAAGTGAATATAGGGGGCCCTCCCTGGTCATGCAGCGAGTTAAAGCACAGCACTAAGAAGCTAAAGCCACTTCAGCATGAGTTTGATCCCCAACACTCGAGGTGATCAACATGGTGCGGCAGACCTCTCCTGACTCACCTGCTGCTCCCCTCAGCAGTGTACGTCTTCAGTCAGCCTGTTCTGCTCCCCACTCTGTCTCTGGTGAATCCTCTCACCCCACCCCCACACTTCTGGCCTGTACCCCAATTCTGTATGCATAAATAAATAAATCTTAGAAAAAAACACAGTTAATATAGGATTCACTGCTATATTGTGCTGGTTTCATTACTTATTTAGCTTGATTTCAAGTCTGCTATATTTCTGAAATTATGGACCAAGTGATATCTCAGCTCTGCTGAGACTTGAACAAGTCACCTAACTTCTCAATCCCTCAGTATCTTTGTCTATAAAGTGAGATTACCATATTAATAGCCAACAGAAATAGTATTTTAATTGCTTTGCATATACTAATTATCCCACTTCATAACAATGTTGTAAAGTAGGTACTAGTTTTCACATGGAGAATCTGAAGCTCAGAAACAGTAACTTGCCCAAGACTGTATCACCAAATGACTGCAGTGTTCCAAACCAGGTCTTCAGGGCTAACTATGCTTCCATGCCATCTCACGCTATTGCTTCAACATGATTCCTACTTTATCAAGATGTGATGAAAACATCTAAAGAGCTTAAGATTACAACTGTTTCATGATAACACTCAAAATATGTTGGCTATGTTCTTTTCTCATATTAGCCATTTCTTCTCTTTGAGATGTACAGTGATATCTCACAGATCTTCATTTAAAAAGAATGTATCAGGGCCTCCCTGGTAGCATAGAGGTTAAAGATTCAGTGCTATCTATCTATCACCAGACATCCAGGCCTGAGTTCATCCCTGGTGCTAATACACATGGTGCAGCAGGCCTCTCCCATCTTGCCTACTACTCCCCTCAGCAATATATTTCAGTAGTAAATCCTCCTGTTCTGCTCCCCACCCTATCTCTGGTGAATCTTCTCACCCTCACCCACACCTATGGCCTACACCCCAATTCTTGTATGCATAAAAAAATATTTAAAAAGAATGTATCACATACTAAGCTCACCTTATCTTTTCTCATAGACTTGAGCTAATTAAATCAGTGAAATGTAGCAAGGGCATGTTATGGACCCAGAAATCGTAGATTTAAATTGTGTTTTATTTAATCTTAAAAATAAAAACCGGTGGTCATGTAAGATTATATCCGAGGATTTCACACACACATTCACTCTTTCAGAGAACCGTTTTTTTTAAAATATTTATTTATGCATACAGAACTGGGGTACAGGCCAGAGGCTCGGGACGGTGAGAGGCTTCACCAGAGACAGAGTGGGGAGCAGAACAGGCAGATCGACGAAGTACACTGCTGAGGGGAGCAGCGGGCGGGTCGGAGGAGGTCTGCCACGCCATGTGGTCACCTCCGGGGCAGGAGGTGCAGGAGGGAATCGAACTCATGCGGAAGTGGCTTTAGCTTCTCAGTGCAGTGCTTTAACCCGCTGCGCCACCAGGGAGGGCCTCAGAGAACCATTTTATAAAGCTAATCACTCACTAGCTTAGATTTTTGTGAGAATGGGATAAATATGGATTGAATAAAAACAATTTGCTTTTCTGGTGGAGTGTGAGTAGCTCATTTATCTGTTTCTGCCCAATACAGTACCTGGCACACAGCTGGGATTCACATGTTTGCTAAACTGAATCCCAGAGTCATGAGAGGCAGAGAGAAAGTATCCAGAGAGTGACAAGCAGAACAGAAAGAAAGCCCTGCCAAAGAGGTTATCCAGAACGGTGCAGAACAAATAAAAATACCAATTCAAAATTCCACATCCTAATCAAACAATACTGGCTATATAGCTGCGACCAACTTTGATCTGTTCAAAGCACATGGTACCGACTCAGTTCACCAGCACTTGCTCAGTTCAAATTACATTGTTTTTCTCCTTCCAACTTTCCTTGTAGTGTAAAGAATAAATTTACCTTACTCACTGGAGATCTGGATTTGAGTTTGGCTATCAAAGACTGTAAACTGGGAAGCCTTTGCGCTACAACCATTGCCCTCTGGCCATCCCAGAGCAGAGGGAGCCAGCTCACGCTGGAATTTGAAACAAATACATTTAACTAAGCCCACAGCACCCATTTCCCGCGCCATCACCGTGCAGAAGCCACGTCGTCATGCTGATATCACCTGCCAGGTAACAGGACTTTGCAAAGTCCCCGAGTGGAACTTCCACTCAGGGAAGGGTGGGGGGGGAATGGTTTGTGGAGCTCATCCAGAACCTAGTGTCTCCCTCCCTAAAACCGTGGCGGAAGTGGGGCTAACGCAGGGGGAGTACAAAGAAAGTGTGGATGAGCGCACTCTACTTAGAGGATTGCAGTAGAGTTAAGTGTATCCAACCTCCCAGCATCTCCGTGGGATCCTGCTGCGGCCAGAGGTTCCTAAAAAGAAGCGGATCCTGGACGCAGAGCGCTTAGTGCGGCACATTTCAGACCTAATTTTGCGCTCCTGTAAAGGACCGTTCTCCTTCGGAGCTCCTTCCACCCCCAGTCGGAGGCGGGGACATCCCAGGGATCCAGATCTTTCGGCCTCCGGAAGTCGAAAGGGCCCTTCAAGACACCCGTCTAAGAACCTAAAACTACCAGGCCACTGTGGCCAAGACGAAGCGTAGTAAAAATCATTCCGGGCGTTTTGAAGAATGTATATTTTGGGGCTCATACCCGGAGTGGACGCTAATTATTACCCAAGCTAGGACCTGGAAATGAGTATCTTTCCAAAAGCTGATTCAGAGGACGACGAGCCGCAGCAACCTATGCTCTACCCCCTGCGGCGCTTCGCCCGCCCCACCTCTCCACCCGCAACTGGTCCCAGACTAGGGAGAAACGCTATTTCCCGTGGGTGGGGGTGGGGGGCGAACCTCTACACTCGCGGAACTGCAGCCAGAGGTCAGTCAGGCCAAGGGGCGCCACCCTGGCTGCGCCACGCCCCCCAGCACCCCTCTCCCCGCCCTCGCTCGGATTGGCAACGCGTGGGTCCCAGTCCAACACCCATACCTTTCCCGATGACTTCCAGCAGCTCCTTTTCCTCCTGGGTCAGCTCGCCTTTCTTGATGTGAACCATTGCTCCCGCCAGCTTGAAGGTTGTGCTGTTCCTTTGGAAGAACTGGGAAGAAAAGACGTGTCAGCGTGAGGAATGCCAGCCGCGATCGGGCAACTCGAGACCTGGACACCAAGTAGCCAACCGCGGAAGTGTTCGAATACTCTCCTCCCTCTCGCTGGCTGGCGAGCAGCAGGCGAGCTCCGGCGAGCCGCGCGGGCCGTCTCCGCAGGCCCAGCTGCAGTCACCGCCCCCCTGCGCGTCATTGGCCGGAGCGGGAGGAGGAGCTGCAGGTTGCGGCAGTCTCAGACTCCCATTGGAACTGCCTGAGGAGGAAAAAACCACACGGAGATTATCAGCGGGGGGGTGGCTAAATTCCTCGTACACGTTCGCCACCATTACCCTGTAAGGGTCGCATATTTGGAGACGCAAAATATTCAGTAGTCGCTCTGTGGAATTTATGTGTCTTGGTCTGGATGCTGAGGGTGTACAGAGCCCGGCGACCCTCGCTGTTTCCCCCTTTGATTTCCCGAGAGTGGCGCGGTCCGAGCCCGGGGCGGGCTGGAGGCGGGGGCGGCGCGGGAGGCGGGGCTGTGCCAGGCTCCGTGTGTCGATGTCAATGTGTCTGTCCTTCACTCCTCCATTGTCTGCTGCCGCCGTTGCTGCTGCTGCTGCCACTGCCGCTGCCGGAATCGCCGCAGCCTCCAGCCTCGCGCGTCGCCGCTACCTCCTCAGACAGGTGAGGGGCAACCCAGGTGGGGCAGGGATAGCAGGGGGTTCTGCGGGAACCCGGGTCGCCGTCCCCGCAGGGAGCTTCCACACGGGCCGAAGCTAGTCGGGAGGAAGCATGTGCCTTCTGGGCGTCTTCCTGTCTCTAGTGGGCATGCCTCTTCGCCACCCCATACAGATACCGCGGCATCGGTGCTCTGGAGGGAAGACCTAGCACTCGCCACGTTTGTCCGCCGGGATAGACTCTGGCCGGCGTGCGGGCCGTGGCCGGCCACGCGGTGGGAAGTGGCGGGTGCACATCTCGTGCGTGGCACCGCCAGATTCGGATCCGGGAGAGACTGGGACTTGGGCGCTAGGTTAGGGGTGCGGTGGTTAGAAGAGCTCCCGGTTGCGACCTAGGTGAGCACATGACGAGAATACTCTCGGGAGAAGGTAGTTTTCTTTTGACGAGCCTCAGTCCTCCTCACCCCCACCCCTGCCCCCAACACTACTTGTCATCTGCAGTGGTCTCTGTGGAAGCTGTAGACGGCAAACGAATCTCCTCGTCCTGCCATGAGGGTTAGGGATGTAAAGGAAGCAATTTACACTTGCACCGAGACTTCGCTTAAGAGACGGCCTGGGAGGAGGACCGGCCGCCTCACTCTGCTGGAGTTCGGCAGCCTCTTTGTAACTCAGATGTTGAGATTTATGGAAATTGGGAGGGGAGAGGAAGGGGCGGAGATTACATTAGTTTTGCTGTCTATATATAGGCTTAGATTAGCCTCTTAATCCTGTCTTTATTCACCTTCGGTATGTGGCCTGAAGCTTCGACCATAGATAGCTAGTGGTGTAAGAACAAGTGTATCCCCTCCTGTGGCTTAGAAACAAGACTTCTTGCTAGTATGAAGTCAGTCGTTCCTCCAGAGCGCGCATCCATATTTACGGCTGCAGGGAAAGCTTCCTTAGAAATTAGTGTTTGCGTTTTTAACTTGTTTTTGTACAGATTAATACTGATGTTTTTCCCAAGACCCATGTGTAACAAAAAGAAATATTTGAATAATTAGTTAGATGGTTTTTTGTTAGGCATCCACCACCACAGTGCCATATATGAAATGAAATGCATTTTCCGCTCTTCTTATACCTTCTTTCCCCCCCCCCAAGCATTCACTAACACTTCTGAAATCTTGGAATATGTTTCATCATTATTCCTGCCTTTAACACAAATCTTTTCTAAACTCCAGCTGTTCTCATTTCTTAATGCTTCATCTTTAGAGGCTGGGACAGATCTGAACTAGAACATCTCACATGAAAATGGTTTGAAATTATGCATCTCAATGTATAACAAAGAAACTTTTGTTTGACATTGCTTTAATAATGGTGTGGCTGTTCAGACAAGGCTATGGCTTTGAGAGTGGACAATCTTTTGTAGCACAGAATGCTGTTACTGCCACAGTTTCAACTGATTTACAACAGTATTATACAGAAGAAACCTAAAGCGAGGCTTACAGAGTAACCTCCCTTAGCACGTGTGATTTACCATCTCACACTGAATACATGACCACAATTGGGTACTTCGTTGCCAGTATTTCCATCTCTTGTGCCAAATTGGGGCCATGGTTACTTGAAGGTCACACCTGTTTGTCTCACTGGGATTGTCAGTTCCTCAAGGCTGGCAACTTATTATCTATTTTGTTGCGACCTTATGGCACCTGCTTGGTATTTAGTCCTCTGTGAATACATGACTTTAATAAATTTATAGTCAATGACATTAAAGGCAAAAGTTAACATCTCCTTAGAAATTTAGATAAATAATGAGCCTAAATTTCTAGAAATAGCTACATAATGAATAGTATTCATCAGATGGCTCACATTAATCATTTTGTGAATTTTAAATAGTTATATAGGAAGAAGATTAGCTAATGAGCTATATACCTTTAGACTTTTCTTATCCTTAGTATATATTCCAGTCAAATTGGTTTTGTTGATAATAAAATAAGCACTACTCATTGAGTATTTAGTCTGTGCTAGACATTCAAATAAATGCTTTATATGTGATTATTTTGATTCTTTTTACAGTGACCCATCCACTTTCCAGTATTACCCCTATTTCCATAAATAAAAAGAAACTAAAAGAAGTTCATTTTCCCTTATAGCCCCAAAGTTAGGTAGAGTCAGTGTCAGATTTGGAACCTAGATTTGTATCTAAAGTTTTCCTCCTTCTGGTTTTCTCTGCTTCAGTGCTTGGCAGTAAAGGGGAGAATTATATAGTCTTTTACTTAGCCAACAGATAATACTTCATTGGTTCAGCTTGCCAAAGAGACAAAAAATCTCCCTTGTGCTTCTTTTCCCAATCCTTTTTTCATGTCTTAAAACCAAATTAGGGCTTCTATTTCACTCATACATCCTGAAGTAGTTTATGTGTTGTAAGCTATTTTATTTTTTTATAGAAATGAGAGCATCCTAACATACTCTATTCCTCTGTGAAATGGAATTTGTATTATGTATTGGTAGTTTTTCTTTTTTTCAAAAAAATAATTTCTGAAATTCAGTGTCCTTTCATTTCTCCTCTGCTTCGCCACCCTAGACCTCTCCTGACCTGTTGAAGTGGATTCTTACCTAACCTCACAGCATCCAACCAATTCAAGGAAATGTGGTTCAGTAAATGTTGAACACCTATCATTCACATAAGCAAGAGGCATATTCTGTGTAGACAAAATCAGTCACTTACAACAGGTTAGTGGCTTTCCACTGGCTACAGAGTAGGGACCCAGGCCTGACCTGGAAGGCTGCAAGTTTTAGTCCCAGCCAGCATTTCCAGTTAGCCAGCCCCTCCCACAGTTCTGCTGTAAGGCACCACTCTGCTGTTTCCCTAACATGCCAGTAATTTCCACCCCTTTGTTCCTGTTTTTTACTTCCTGGAATGATCTCCTGTCCCTCTTCACTGAGTCTTTCTCCACCCCAGATCTGATGAACTGCTTGACTTTCAAGATACTACTTACATGTAACCTCTTCTCACCAACTTTCGGGATCACTTCTTCCACTTTATCCAGTGAAGGGAGGACTGACATTAATAAACTGATTTTTTTCACATCCCTCACCAAGATGGATAGGTAAAATATTTAGAAGCACTTGCTGAAACCATTATGGACATCTTCCATTTCTCTCCTCTCTTAAAAGTCCTGCTGTCTTCTCCCCCAAACTACTATTATTGCTTCTTCCATTAATTGACAAGACAATATCTAAATCAAGATCTTTTTTATATTGTTAGTTTGATTATATCATAAATTAACTAAGTCTAATTTGCCTTTGTTTCTCCAAGTTGTCACACAGGGCCTTGCACCTCACATGTGGTCAGTACATGTGGAGTTGAATTCAGTTTGATCCATAGTTACTTTAGGTGGATTTGCTTCCCTACTTGACTAATCCTTCCTGGCAGTGTGAGGTGTGGTGGCACTAAGCACACAAAATCATAATCAAGGGCAGAAAGTCTTTAAATGTTTTCAGTCTCAAGCTGCTTCACATTGTGATAAGTGGCATCAACCAAAAAAAAAGAGAAAAAGCACACATGTGCATGTTACAAATTTTTCATGCCATTTCTGAATTCCCCACTAAAGCCCCTGACCTCCAGTCTTCTGCTTCAAGAGAACACTGTTTCCTTTTTAGGCAGGGGAATCACTCATTTTGGAGAATCATGCCTACTGGAGTACTTTTTCCTTGACATCTGACTTTTCTTAGACTTAGGTAACATTTCTTGATTGAGTAGATACTCAATTTTAAGGAATAATAATGACATCAGATTTGCTTCAATATAATGTGTGACAGTGGGAACAGAGACTGAGTATAAATGAGACAAAGTTGACTGTGTCAATAATTGAAACTGGGTGATATATGTATTGATTTCTTTATACTATTCTCTCTACTTTGGATGCTTGAAATTTTCCATAAGGAAGTTTTGAAAAGGAAAATTGGAAGTTTTGCAGCTTTAGAAATTACTGTTTTTTAACAAATATGAGAAAAACAATATAAATACAAAAGATATTTCTTGATAGTTGGAACTTAGTTTATGCAGTTATTTAAATGTTAAAACAATTATGCCTAAATCTGCAAAAGACTGTCTTGTAAACAATGCATTTCTATAAATTGTTCACATCACATTTTAACTTTGCCACAAAATTAAAAGGTAGGTGGCATTTCTCAGTGCTTGTGTCACAGGCTTATGAATACCTTACTAGCAGCAAACCATCATTTTTAGAGACTGAAAAAGTGGTTTATAGACAAGTCTGAACAAAGGGTGCAAATATATTTAATTTAACTGAAAAAATCGATGAGAATGAAGTGAAGACACTGATTTTCTTCTGTGTTTCATAAGGTAACTCATTCCACAAGTCATTTCCAAAAAGGGATCCCAAAAGTGATGTAAATAATATCAACATTAGTAGGATAAGTAAGTTAATGTAGGAATATTGTGTCTGCAAGGTTCCTACTCAGGATGAGGACTTTATAACATATATTTCTTATGTTTGTTTACTTTGTATATTTTGGACTTATTAAATGTTAATGTTTTCCAAAGACTGGTGTGTAGTTTTTTTGTTTCATTTATAACATGTCTTCTAGACTTTGAAAGGTTTTTTTTTTTGCTGTTGCTTTTGTTTGCATTAAAGCTCTAAAACCAAGTATTAACAATGTCTTGGACAGTGTAGCCAATTTACTATCACTGCCAGAAAATACTGAAGTGCACATTAGTATATATCCAACTACATTTTTTGTCTTGTTTTCATATTTATTTTATATATCTCACTGGAATTTAAAACGTTATGTTGGTGCTTCTGAGTAAAATAAAACTATTCAAGTAATTAAAACTAGAAAGCTATTCTGCATCAGAAGGAAAAAGGTATCATCTACCTTTTCAATAAATACTTGGAAGCTAAAATATTGGTATTTTTCTCTCGTCATTTGGGTATTCTATTGTGAAATTTTGTTAGGCTCAACAGACAAAACCGCTCTTAAAATTATATTCATCTGCCTCTGGGT